TAGATATTCGAGAAGAGATGCGATCCACGGGTCAGGACGTGGTTCAGTGGCAATCGAGTCGAGCTTTAGCGATGACAAGGTCTGGAGGCAAGAGTTTCCGCACGTCGGATCTGGTGGTTAAGGTGAGCGGGACAGGGCATCAGCGTCAGAGCGTTTGTGTCCGCAGCGATATACGACGCGAATGTCGTACTCCTGGATTAGGAGTGCCCATCGCGCAAGGCGGCCAGAAGGGTCTTTCAACGTGGAGAGCCAGCAGAGCGCGTGGTGATCAGTTGATCGAACGGGCGGCCGTATAAGTACAACCGGAACTCTCCAAGCGCCCACACTAAAGCCAAAAACTGTTTTTCTGTGACATTGTAATTAGTTTCGGCTTTTGTCAGAGTATGGCTAGCGCAGGCTACTACGTATTCTGAATTAGCTGGGCTTTCGTTGAGCGAGGACAGTGCCTAGCCTGATGCCACTGGCGTTGGTGTGTACTTCGGTAAGAGCCGTCGGGTCGAATTGGCGAAGGATAGGTGGTGAGGTGTGCTGACGGCGCAGAGTAGTGAAGGCAACGTCACATGCAGGGGACCAGGATGAGAGGTTCACGTCACCGCGAAGAAGCTGGGTTAATAGTGACATGATAGATGCAAAATTGCGAACAAAGTGCCGGAAGTAAGAGCATAGGCCTACAAAACTGCGAAGTTATTTTATGGTCGTCGGCTTGAGAAATTCTGCGACTGGGTCAGGTAATACGCCGTGCTTGGACACGATGTGACCTAGGATGACGAGTTCGCGTGCAGCGAAGCGGCATGTTTTGAGGTTAAGCTGCAGGCTAGCGTTGGTCAGAAAAGTCGGAACGTGCCTGAGATGAAGGAGGTGCGTATGAAAGTCATGGGAGAAAACCACGACATCGTCGAGGTAACAGAGGCACATATTTCACTTGAGGCCAGGTAGCGTATCATCCATAAGACGTTCAAACGTGGCATGTGCGTTACAAGGCCTAAAGGGCATGATGTTAAACTCGTATAGTCCGTCTGGTGTAATAAATGCAGTTTTTTGGCGATCTGCTTTAGTCATTGGGACTTGCCAGTAGCCAGACCGCAAATCTAGCGACGAGGAGAATTCCGCTCTGTGAAGGGTGTCAATGGCGTCATCAATGCGCGGCAAAGAATAGACGTCCTTGTGGGTTATCTTATTCAAACGACGATAGTCCATGCAAAATCGGATAGATCCGTCTTTCTTACGCACCAGGACGACAGGAGACGCCCAGGGACTGTGAAATGGTCGAATGACGTCTCTACGAAGCATATCTTCGACTTGATCGTTGATGACGTGGCGCTCTTCAGCGGAGACACGGTATGGTCTTCGACGCAGTGGCTGGTGTAGGCCAGTGTCGACATGATGTTTGGCTTGCGTCGTGCGCCCCAGTTGAGGTTGCGACACATCGAAAGAACTCCTGAACTCATGCAGAAGATCCAGCAGGTCGGCAAGTTCGGTGGGAGTGAGGGTGTCAGCGATGGCGCTGGAAAACATATCATTGGACGACTCCCCGAGTGCCGACAGTGCGTTTGGGTGGTCGCAGTTGTCATCCAGGACATCAACCAATGACGAATGGTCGAGATCCTGCATGCGGTCAAGACATTCCCCCGCAAGCAAAGTGACAGGTGTGGAAAGGGGATTGCTTACGAAAATATTGCTTCTTCCGGCGGCAAGGTCAATTGTTGGGAAAGACAGCGGCAGAGCTCGACGGCTCTTGTAGATATCGGAAGGCATAAAAAGGACTGTAGCGTCAGTGTAGGCGTTGCATGAAATGGGAACAAGTGCGAAATTTTCAGGTGGAATATGAGTATCTTCATGAACGAGCAACTCCGGTGGCTGATGAAGAGCGTCAAGTAATGGAACATCACATAAGGGTGAAAACTCAACTTCGGCACGTGCGCAGTCGATGACGGCATTATGGCGGGATAGGAAGTCCCACCCAAGGATGATGTCATGCGAACAGGCAGCGAGAACAATAAGCTCCACGATGTAAAAAATGCCTTCGATGGACACTCTTGCAGTGCAGGCTGCGAGAGGCGTTAGTTGCTGTGCGCATGTGGTGTGAAGCGACAGTCCCGAAAGCGGCGTCGTGACTTTGCGTAATAAACGGCAGAGATTAGCGGCAATAATAGAAACAGCGGCGCCGGTGTCCACAAGGGGGAAAGTACAATAATCTTCAACAGTTACTGCGACCACGTTAGCAGGAGAGGAGCGAGGGCTTAGACAGTTCGAAAATGGCGCAGTTCTTGCCTCTTGAACTGCAGTGCTTAGTTGTCCTGGTCGGAGGGTCTGGGCCGGTGACGCATAGGGGAGGGCGATCGCCGACGAGGAGAGGGTGCGCGCTGCGGCTGGAAGTCAAGATGGTCAGTAGGGGCATTGCGAGGTGACGAGACCGGCCCGTATTCGGCGAGGGGTTGGCTGCCGGGTTGCAAGGACCGGGCACAGTTGCCAAACGTCTGAGGTCGACGGCGGCAGTAGGGGGCAACATGTCCGGGAGTGAAGCAGGCGTAGCAAATCGGTTGGTTATCGGGCGTCCTCCAAGGATTGGCGACTGTTAGTGCTGCCCAAGGTGCAGTATAAGCAGCCGGGTGTGCGGGATGTGAGCGCGTGGTGTAAGGCGGTTGCGGAAGCATACGCACAGCGTCTGCATATGTGAACGGCGTTGTTACAGGATGCATCTCTTGCGAACAGGTGACAGGAGGAGCCACAGGATGCGCTGCATACGTTAGGGGCGTGGCCACAGGCTGTACGGCTGGCGAATAGGTGACAGAAGCGCCTAACGGCTGCGCGACACGCGGGCAGTGAACACGGCTAGATAGAAGCGGCTCGTAGTGGGCAAGGGGAACAGCTTGTGCAACCACTTCCTATATAGCAGTGCGAAGCGGGGCAAGTAGACAGGAGGTGGTGTCGTGAATAAAGGGCACTAGGGAAAGTTGACTTCTTCACGAACGAAGGCTTGGACTTGCTGAAGCGACGGTGAATTTTCAGGCATGGTATCGAAACTGGACAGCAACTCACCACCGCGTTGAGGCTGCCGAGTCAGAGCGCCTTGCTTCTTCAACTCGTAGTAGCTCTGGCACAAGTTGACGACTTCGAAAACTGTGCTCGGATTTTTAGCCAAAAGTATTTGAAAAGCGCCATCGTCAATGTCCTTCAGGGTGTGTTTGACCTTGTCCGACTCGGGCATGGTGTCATTCGTGCGTCGACAAAGGTCGACAACATCCTCAATATAGCTGGTAGAATTTTCGCCAGTCTGCTGAGAGCGTACGCGCAAGCGCTGTTCTGCCCGCTGCTTGCGGACAGCAGGCCGACCGAACACTTCACCACATGGTGTATTGAAGATGCTCCATGTGGAGATGTGTTTGTGTTTGTTAAACCACAATTCGGGGACACCAGTGAGATAAAATACGACGTGTCCCAGCTTGTCGGCTTCATCCCATTTATTATTGGCGCTCACCAGCTCGTAGTGCGCGACCCAGTCTTCCACGTCGGTCCCATCCTGCACCGCTGAAGACCTGCGTGTCCCGTAGCCTAGGATGGCCAGGGCAGTTGAACTGAGGCGAAGGACGCCGATGGGTTGGCATTGTCAGTCATGACGGGCGGTAGCGTGCGGCTTCGCAGCTCCAGGGTATAGCGACGCGGATAAACAGCACCCTCAACCAAATGTCAAGAGGTTTATTAGTCGTTAACGACAACGGCAAGACAGCGTGAAAAACCGTCCAGAAGATATCGGCACAACAGCGAACTAAAGCACTAGCCGAGAGAGCCAGGCATTGGCGATGCTGCTCGCTGCAGGCACATCTTCTTCTTCACATACTTAAAGTCCGAGTGGCTACTGTCCAATCTATGTGGCTACACGATAGCTTGCGGTTTGTTGAACCAGCGTCTTGAGGAGGCGACAGTCCACGCACGGCGATGACCCTTGTTCGTAGCGGGCTCAGGCACGCAGGTGGCATGTCCTGCATGCTTTCTCCATAGTAGCCAAGGCCTCCGTCAGGCCTCACTTTTGTAGACGGCTTTCAACCATCTCGGGTGGTGGCGGCGATCCGGAACCCGTCATGTCTGTCCCTCATGCCGACGCAGCAGGAGTCATTCTCGGTGTTGGTAGCCCTGAACAGGTACCTCGGCTCCTGGACCTCGATCGCCAGGGAACAGGCAGGAAGAGCTCTACGAACAGTGCCCTGATCCGGTGTGCCCCAGCTGGAGCCATCGTCAGGACCACCAGGCGAGCACCAGGTCTCTGTTAGCATGGCCACAAAACCTCCAAGGACAGCGCCCTGGTGTGGCGTGTCCTTCGGCTAAGTCTTGCTCGGCTCTCTACACGCTCCCCACGTGCCTCTCTTCTTTGTCTTCTTTTTCCTCTTGTGCCACCGCCGCACATGCCACCTGTTTCCACCGGTCGCTGGCTCGGCTTCTCGTCACCGTGCTTCTCTTTCTCAGACGTCTGTACAAACATTTCCCAAATCCACTAAAGTTCTCACGCACACGCATTAACTCTACATAAAGTTTGTTCATTCATTACAGCGATAATCATTCAAGGATGCCGTATTTGCCAGGAGCATCAAAGAGTGTCACGACCAGTGCCTGTCATGCCCTGGCCGTTCCTTGAGACACCATAGGCACGGCTGAATGTGGGCTTTGCCGGTCTTTACAGGAACACCTATTTTTTTGATGATGGGTTCTCAAAGTGGATCGAAGTGTTCCCAGTTTTCGCACTTTCAGCTGAAGCAACTATTTTCTGCATGTGAATTATGGGTTCAAACCAAATGTGGTCATGTCAAATAATGGGCCAGCATTTACCAGTGAGCTCTACTCCACATTCCTCAAGAAAACGGGGTGAGGCGAATGCTGGTGCCGCCATGTCATCCAGGATCAGACGGTGCTGCAGAGCGGGCAGTGCAGACTGTGAAAAATAAGTTGCGGAAAGCTGGCCCTGGAGATATTCACACTCAAACTGCCCGCATGCTCCTGACTTACAGGTCCCTGCCTCATGAGGTCATGGGTTGCTGTCCGTCGGAGCTGTTGTTGGTGCAGAAGCTGAGGACTGCGTTGGACCTTCTACACCCAGACCTCAGGTCTAATGTGCTACAGAAGAAACTTAAGCAGAAAATCGGATAGGACCAAGAAACAAGACCCAGAGTTTTTGGTCACTCTGGTGACCAGGTGTTCGCAAGGAACTTCCGTCCAGGTCCTGCGTGGCTACCTGCAGTCATCACCAAGCAACAAACTTCGCCCATGTATGTTCTCCTGGAGCATAGACGGCATTTAATTCGACATCTGGATCACATCTGCCAGCCCCATGAGTAACTGAGTGCAGACAACCGAAATTCGGGCAGCCCTGTAGCTACAGGTCTTGCTCCAAACTTGGATATGGGTCAGAGGCAGCTAACTCCGCATCGTCTTCACGATGCGAAGTTTCAGTTTTAGTTTCAGTTGAAGATACAGCGTACAGTGATGATGTGGGCAGTGGACAAAAAGCCTCTAAAATGGGCTTGAAAGCATCCACTGACCATAGAATTCAACAGACAGCAAGTATTACGTGGCAAGCAATGTAATGCAGTATTGCAGTGCAAGTAAATAAAAATATACAAAAAGAAATTCAATAATACAAATTTACATAATACAGTGTTTTTACGAAAGTGAAAAATGTCATCATACAGGAAGTGTTGAATGAAGTCAATAACCTAAATACATAATACAGGCTAAGCTTCACGAGCGGAATTCTGCCGCTAAAAACAATCGTCGAAAAAAAAAGAAGAAAAGAAAGAAAAACAATACAAAAATAGAATAGCAACAGTAAAGACTTGAAGCATGAAAAGTGAAATGTAATAAGATGCACACGCTACAAAACTTGTTTATTCAGGAGACGTGGTAACTGTATGCACAACCTTTGTTCCCCATAAGTAGTTCTGCAATGCGGAACTTCCCAAAATCTGGTGTCACGTGTATGTACGTTAAGTGACAAGCAAGCGATGCTTCTAAGGGATTGGAATTTTTTTCTAACTTCTGATTCATAGCATTTCATGAGGATATGTTCATATATGTTTCGAAGTGAGACCAAATGCAACTCGCGAAAAAGTGGTTCTGAAGGACTATCGTGTAAAGTATTTGCAATGGCTCGAATAGCTTTTTGTTTTATAATGTGTAGTTTCCTCATGTTAGAAGCAGTTGTAGTACCCCATACTAGGTAGCAGTAACTTAAAACTGAAAGAAACAAAGAGTTGTAAATAATAAGCTTCACAGTTTTGGGAAGTGAATAACCCACCTTGCATAATATACCAGCGACTGAAGCTAATTTGGCTGCCGTAGCTTCCACATGAGGATCTCATGGCATGAGCTCTTTGAAAAGAACACCTAGACTGTAGATACTAAATGAATATGTGAATCCTGAAACTTCAGCACAACTTCGTCATGAATTTTACAATTCTTGGGTCTAGGCAAGATCACAGGAAAAACGTGGCAAGGAAAACAGAACCTGATGTCACAGCAACCAGTACTCCATTCCTGCATCGATATACCAGAAATCATCAACCAGTATCGCACTGCTCACCTTAAACAATTGTTTGCATCTATTAATGAAGGGGGGAGGAATGTGATAAAATCAGTTTGTCGTTCTGGCAACCAGGGGTACCGATGTTTGCAAAGAAATTAATAGACTACATGGCCAGACAGTCAGTGTGAAATTTTCAAACTACCTGTGTGTGATTTGGTTCGGCGACCGGCTTGGCCGAGGACTACTGGGTTATCACAGTGCCAAAGGCTTCAAGCACGCAGGAATGTGCCACACTTTGCCTATGAGTGTTCCTTAACTGCACTAATTAATTGAGAAGTCTGAAAAAAGTTAAATGCCCTCTCACAGGGATAACCTCTTTGTACACAGGGCTCAAATGGTGCAAAATGATGTGCCACCCACATAGTTGCAATACTTATGCAATACGCTCTGTTAGAACTGTTATAACTTGCAGAACTTGAAATACTCTCTCTCGTCTTGCAGACAACCTTGTAAAGCACTGGTGCGAGTTTCACAGAAACTGATAAAAAAATTGAAAAGTGTATAAATGAGATAGAGTGGTTTGAGCTGTATATAATGGAATAGACATTAAGGTATGCCGTAACCTACATTACGCACAAGGACCACGAACATCTGGTGTATTGTGGCCACATGCACTCTTGTGAGCTTACCTCCTGTTGTTGCGCAGTGTTTACCTCACTGGACACGCTTTTTCCCTTTCCGTGTAAGAAAAGAATATATGCGTGCTTATGCCACTAGTTGCACTTATGGGTGTGCCATGGTACATTGTGCGAATTGAGAGATGCCTAAATTACCGGCTTATGGAGTAGGCTCAAAAAGTTTAGCGAATTGAGGTTAAGTACATGCAGCTTGTGGCTCATGCTGCAGCATGTGGCTGTGAACCATGGTTCACAGATCCGCAGGTTCTCTGAAGAAGCGTGAAATCATCTACACGCCTGCCTTTGGAAGCATACTTTATTGGAAAAATAAAGATCTTTGTGTTAGCAAGCCGTCCTTAGTTTTTAGTGCTTCTTGCTGGTTTATCTGTTTTTTTTTCTAAGTTTTCCTTATTTGTTGTTTTGTTCAGTGCTGGTGGTTCTTGTATCGCTCATTGAATGTTTTGTCATTGAATGTTTTGCATATGCGCACCAATGTTGAACATTGCTTTGGCGCATTGTCCTGTATGTACATAAGATGGTCAGTCAGACACAATAAACAGCTGGTAGTGAGCGCTGTGTGTGATGTGGGGCTCTCGTGTGGAAGAGCATGTTTTTGGAATTTCCAAGTTGCGTCAAATTCACTTACAATAAGATGAATTACCAGCTAGTCCAACAAGTTTTAATAAGCATATCGTGTGCTTCTTGCTACGTCAGACGTCATGATTTTCCCATTCTGTCCGGGAATATGGAGATATTAATAGAGTGGGGGGGGGGTATGTCTGGCAGAAATCGAGATGTATTCGAGTATCCGATTGACGGTTGCTTGCTCCAGGAATTTGCATACTTGCACTGCTGGCAGAGTTCTTGCCTGCAATACCTACTTTGAAAACTTAGTTTGAAAGCTTCAATGATCATGTTTTCCAGCCAAAGCACATTGGAAATATCGTCACACTGGTCATTATTATATTGTTTATTTTGCCAGAAAAAAATAGGCAAATGGTTGCATTGGGACGTGTTGACATAGAGAGTTGCAGGTGACATGCTGCCTTTGTGTCACTACTGTGTTGCAGTGAAGATGTCTTGTTTTCTGCTTGCGCGCATTTTAGTTGATTACGACAGCGTTTTTTTTTTTTTTTTTCCAGTTGCAGCAAACGACCAGTTCTGATTACTTCAAAGAATTCCAAGTTCCATCCATCCCACTTTTTGTCTGTTCTGTTAATTCGAAAACCCACTTGATTAGAAGATTTCCTGCAGCGCCAGTGACATCAAATGAAAGAGGCTTTACTGTACCTCAAAAATTTACTGGGAGCACTTCTGAGGAATGCTAGCAAGGTAGAGCTGTAAAATTTTTGTTTTGGGTCTTTCATAAGTTGCTTCAGTTCTTGGCTCATATGCTTGATAATGCTATCAGTATGTCAGCTACCAGACTGTGAAGAGACGTTATGCTTGTGCTTTAACCTTCTTTGGAATAACTCCGGCAATTCATGGGTTTGTTTTTCTAGCATTTTCGAGAGAATGTGGGACATAGCAAGTTATGCAGTGTTGGACCATGTGGAAAAAGTAATACCAGAGTTTGTCTATGCTCTCACCAGAATCATACGTATTAACAAAAACTTCAAATTACGTTGCGAGGTGATTTAGCACACATACAAAATACAATGATATAGAATTAGCAGTTTTCAAGTTGGAGTTTAACCCATATGTTTTCGACATCACTTTTGTCTTGCATAATCGTGAATGTAACTTTTACTGCATCAATCCTTTCTCAAATGAGTGCAACCGGGGAGAATGATACATCTTTGCGAAGCCATGTTTACGTGATGCCTACGATTTCTGGTTCATGTTAGAGAATGCTTTCTAATACGTCTAACTTGTTCAGTATACTCCGAGCATTAAAATTTATGGCACTTTAATAAATATTGAGCATATTCTTTTATTGAAGGACCCAAACACACGTATCATTTCTGATTCTTGCCATCCCAGATATAAATTATGTTGTTAATTTTAATCTTTTCAAACATGAGCTTTACTTTAGCACCTTTTTTTTTTCATCCACAACTGAATTCCACAGGTTCTTTCGCATACTCATAGCTCTCTTAGAAAAATCCACTCAAATGCTAAATTGTATTTCTTTAAGTTTTGAGAAATAGATCAGTGCCTTCATTTTTTCACGTAAGTCGGCAAAGGGCATAGTAACAGGTCTGTTTTCACCGTTAATTTCTTACCACTCATGTTAATATGAAGCGTGGAAACTTGGGCAAGTAAAACATAACTGAATATATACGAAGAGTGCAATAGACAAGGACGGAGGAAGGTAACAACACGCAGCGCTGGCTCAAAATTTACCTTGTGCATGAGACATTCCACTGTTTATTTGTCATCTTCTGTTGGGCCTCTAATTATTAGGTTATTATGCCTTGAGCAGTTTTCTATATCAACTCTTTTAGTCAAAAGGGACGTTTTATCATATTTACTCGCAGCACAGTCTAGTGACGAAAGGGGACTGTGAACGTTGTCGAAAGACTTGAGTTCTTTTTCAATAGCCTTAAATCTATTATAAACCTGTGAGAGGAAAGCCTCTGATGATGCTTGTTTATCTCTAATTTCCATCACTTTCGCAAGTAGTTCTTTTTCAGACTGCACAAGCTGTTCAAGAATGGCATTATTGTTAGGTCCTGGGTTTTCTTCAATATCCTCAGAAATTTTAAGCAACAGGGCCCATTACAGACAAGCATTCAGTGATGCAATGACTAAGGGCAAGTGCGTGGGCACGACACCACTAATAAGCAGGTACAATCACTGCACGTAGAAACCATATTTGTTTTTACCAAGCTGCTCAAGAAGCAAAACTTCAGAAGACATGGTCACGGTGGTGCTGCCATGTCAAAGCTCATGGCAAATCTGATTTAGTGAGGGATCGTTAACATCGTGGGCATACATTTACGTTGGAACACCTGTAATCTCTTAATTTAAAAGAAAGAAATAAAAACATTTTTTATAAATGTGCCCCTGCGTCTCATGAAAAACAAAGCAGAGCTTTGTCTAATTTGTCTAATCTCGTTTCTTTTTTGTTTTGCTCCGTGTGGCCCGAGTCCACTTTGTCACAAGACGAAGTTCAGCAAAGGTTCAGCAGTTACGCTTCACCACCTTGACTTTTTGGTGGCACCATTTCAAATTGGATCATGAAGTTCACAATGGCTGTTTTTTTTATTCTAAAGAAAACCAAAACTCAACAAAGCCACTAGTGCACTTGAAGCCACAAACACGAAGAGTAGGCGACTCCGCCTACTGCTCATTATTCCTGTGGTGGCTTAACAATTGCAGTGCCAGAGTTTTTCTGCAGTTAATTTTACAAGACTCTTTATGGCACCAAAATGGGCTGCTGTATGGAGAAGAGGGCCTTCTGGGGTGGCTGTGATTAAGATCAACTGCCCAACCCAGCACACTCCTGCCTCAATAGCGTAAGCTTACTCACCGCCTTGCTTTTGTGTCTCCACAAACTGAACTGGTTTGTTGTGATGCCTTCTATGGCTCCATCACAATTGCATTGTAGGTGACTGCTGCAGACTGAGGCATCATAGAGGCGTGGCTCTCGATTTTGCTTGGCACACATGAACTGGATAGGCTGTATTTGTGATTGCGTCAATAGCAACTGCAGTCAAAGCTGACACAAGCAGTGGTATCTTTTCACCACATGCCTTCAGAACTGCTTGGTTGTCATCCATGATTGGGCATTAGATAATGTTGGTTTATTCAACGATAATATTTATTCAACAGCAGATGCAATGATCTGCAGCTTTGTTTCAACTATGGACGTTGAACAATATGGCCGTAATACTTCCCCGACACAAAATAAATACTGTACTTGTGTATCAATTGAAAAAAATGAAGTTGCCTGGTTGTTGCAGGCATTTTTTGTTGTTTTCTTTATATACTTTGAATAATTGGTGGGTTTAGGCTTAGGCTTGTTGGTGATTGATCTTGAAGGAGACTGTTGCGTGCAAAAAAAGGGTATGCTACTAAGAATACAGATAAACAGATGAAGCACAGTCATTTGTGTTTTGTCTAACTATCTGTGTTCCTTCTTTTGTTCCTGTTTTACAGCGAAAGCTGTCATAAGATTCCAACTCTGGTCACGTGCAGTTGTCCACCGCCACCACCGTGTCCGTAACCACACCGCGCGAAATCAGAAAAAAAAAAAAAAAACAACTAGCACCAATGACACAATGGGGCTCGAACCCGTGTCCGCTAGTTGCCGGCCCAGTATTCTACCACTGAGTTATGCCGGTGCTTGTAACTTGTTGTCAAACTTTCCTAAGGCAGGCTTGACCTAGCACCAATGACACAGTGGGGCTCGAACCCGGGTCCGCTGAGTGCCAGCCCTGTATTCTACCACTGAGCTATACCGGTGCTTATGCTTTGTTGTCAAACTTGCCTTAGGCAGCCTTGATGTCGGGAAAGCAATTGCGTTAATATGACTTACAAAGCGTTTTAAAACAGCGAAAGCACAACCAGTCGTCGCACAATGCGAATAGCGTAACGAGTTGGCCGTCCAGTGCTTCAACCCATCGCAAAAGCTTGTTCCCCTATGAACTGTGGCGCATACCTACTTCAGCCATAATTCCTCATCGTCGTCAGTCACTGAATGAACATTGGCACAAAATTCCTTGCAAGTGTTTAGCGGATACCACGCTTCTCAGAAGAATGATGAAAAATAGCGTAGTGAATGCCGGCCTAGTACCCAGATAAATTTATTAATGATCACCTACTTGGTATCAAGCAAGTGTGCATGCAGTAGTTATCCAATGAGTGTTTCGGGAAGGCTCTGAGAGGCTGCTTTTCTAGCTTTCGCTGTGACTGTGCAGCGCCTTCCACGTAGACCTGGCGTTATTTTGCATGCGACGAACTTGGACATTTTTTCCAGTCTCATGAAATGCAAAGTAACAAGTTATTGCTCTATTGGCAATGCAACAGCGTGAGCGATCACTAACTTGCCTTTGTCTGGAAATAATGAAGGTGGTTTTGTTTTGTGTTGCAGTGGCATGCTACTTGGCAGCGTATTTCTGGTGGCCCTGCAGGGTTGCTGCACTGTCTTGGGAACGGTGTTGGTGACCTACGAGGCGAACAACTTGGTGGTGGACCTTGTCAGTGCGCCACAAAACTCAACTCTGTTTCTTTTGCAACTTCAGTCCCATGCCTCCGGTTGCATGGACACAAAGGCTGCAACTGTGAAAGAAGTGCTTTTGATCCAAGTGAGTGGCGGCAAAATGTGCTTTGTCTTCATCACACAATTCACTGTGTTGCTTAAAAAAGCACTGACACAAAAAATTTGCATCTTGTTTTTTCTGGCTAGGTTACGGCCCACTTATCATGGCTGGAAAGCTAGTTTTCTTGTGCGCACGACGGTCGATTATTTGGAAAGGGTCTTACACTACCCGTTTGCAGTTGCGGTATCAGAGAGCGCCGAGTGAGATGGGACCTAAAGTGTTTTTATGTGTAAACATAGCTGTCTATGTGAGGATGAAAGCCTCACTGCACTTTAGCACCACGTTGACAGTTTTTTGCAACAAAGGCTCTTTCCAAGACGATGACTTAAACGTGTACCCCCCCCCCTCCCCCCCCCAAAAATTTACTGCCGATGCAAAAGATCTAGGAGAGAGCACTTGCAAGGACCACTGCAGCCAGCACAAACTTGTGACACTGGTGACAGTTGGTTGTTTACAAAGAAAGCAGAGGTGTGTGTCCTATGCTGTGTTGTGACATGCACTTCGAAATCAATTTCGAATATGTTCTGGGTTACTAAGCTATATAATTCGTTGATAGTGTAACTGCAAGATGACAGGGAGTGCATACTCTTGCACCACTTTGTTTAGCTAGAATGTTGGTTGTTGAGCAAGTTGGTACATACATGAACTCAGGAGAAAGCCTAAAACTTTTAAAGAAGAAAAAAAAAAAAAGAGGAAGAAGCAGTGTTCATGGCCTCTGCTTCTGCCTCTCAGTTTTCTTCCTTTTTCGACTTTTTAGTGGCTTTTTCAAGTTTAAGTGCTTAGCTAAACTATGTCCAGTAATAAGAGATCCTGGAATCTGAGCTGGGTGTGGTGAAGGTCACTGCATCACCTTTATGGAACCCCAGGGTTTCGTGTTGGCCTTTCCTTCCTTGTTTGTTTAATAATACTGTCAACACCAAATGAGTGCTTTTACAGAAGTGGAAACAAAACCAATTATACAAGACAACATATGGTGTTCTGATGCTATTAGAGGAAACGAAAAGGCCAAGAAGTAAAGTACATTGCAAAAGAAAAACTTAGAGCAAACACAGGCATGTACACTTGCATAGTGCTCATTGAAAATAAGAAACAGGCATGTACAGTCAACTACGAAAGTTAATGGATCATGCGAGTGCCAGGCCAGGACCCTCTTCTCATCATTTCTACTACGTCATCAGAAGTAATTGACAAGAATTAATGCACTGTCGGAGATGCACGCCTCTCTTAATCGATAGCCTGTCTGTTCTGTGGCTGGTCGCAACCCTGTAGATTTTAATGCGGCACTCTCTTCGGCGGCCACGGCTACTTTCTTCTGTCTCAAGAGCAGTCATTCAGCATAACTGTTATCAGTAGCAATCTTTCTTGCAAAGCGATATTGCCCAACGATATGCCATTCGAGTCGTGTCGTGGTTCTGCGTGAGAACTGTGAACAATATGCAGCGCAACAACAGAAAATTGAAAGGCCATTCAATATAACAAGACCCATTTCTGCCTCTGCACGGTGGTCGACGATAGATGGTGATGCGGACAAGCTGTTTGGCATGCAATTTCGTGGTCTTTGGTGATTGTCTGTACAGTTGCGTTCTGTGCATTAAAAAAAGAAGACAGAGAGGCTTAATGAATTGACACCATGCACACAAGAATAAAAAGCAATAATAAATATAAATGTTATGGCACATTGCATACCTGCCAACCCTCCCAAATTGTCCGGGAGACTCCTGCGTCTTGACCTAATCTCCCAATTGTACGAGTGGTATCTGGAATCTCCCGAAAAGTGGCTGCTGCAGCTGAGACTTTTTCTGTTTTTCTTTTCTTTTCGTCTTTTTAATCAAGCATGTACGCCAGCTTTTCCAGCTGCAACAGTTGCAGCGCTGCGGAACAGCACTCTCCAGTATACGTTTACTTCATTGTACCCATATTGTGGAGTACTGCTAAGTATATTCTAGGCATTATAGCTCCGTGCATCTGAGCGAAGGCCAGTGGCAGCGATATGTGCTCGTCACCGCACCAAAGGTAGGCGAGAGATAAAGGACCGCAACTTGTCTGTCTGTCTTGGGCCCCAGCATTTCGCACGCTAGGCCTATTCAACTTGCCCAGACATCAGTTGTGTTTGTTACAGGGTCATGCGGTTGCATATTTCCCTGAGTTCAGTTGAAAGGTCGATAGCAGCGTCAAAAGCTAAGAAGCAATTGCAAGTGTTTCTAAACTCGTACACAAGGGAGTTTCTATGCTTCGTGACTTCGTGGAAAGGTGACAAGTACAGATTTTGCGCCATGTGCATCTACAATGCGAGTATTTCGCACGGCGGCAAGGCGGAAATAAAGATGTGAGGATGTGAAATGGTATAGGTGCGGGCGTACGATAACAGCTGTCTGAAGGATGGCTGCAGATGCCAAAAACACAGTTGCAGAGACTCTGAATTGCCATGCTTTCGCAATCGCAGTGGATGCAAGCAATGACAACAGGTCGCTAATGTCTTGGTCTTACTAATTCTCGATATGACCCCCCCCCCCCCCCTGCTGTGGTCTCCCGAATTTTTAGGCTTCTATGTGGGCAGGTACGCATTTGTAACAAAGAAAATAAACAACATTAAAGCTGCAGTAGAAGCACTCACGGATGAAGGCATGATGACTGGGTTAGTTTGTTCCGTTCTATAATTGCCCTAAATAAAGGTGGTATTTAAGTGCGTCGTTTCGGGTGACTAGCGGCATATATACAAACTGTGCACTCATTCCAAGTTTCTTGCATCCCACTTTTATATTAATTCTGAAAGCCACTTAGGTAATTCAAAGGTTTCTCGACGCCCCAGTGACATTGAATTAACAATTTTTTGCTCTATATTATTCAACTGCTTTTCCTGCTGTAACACGGGAGAAAAGAACATAGTCCAAATTGTCTTGGACTATGTGGTCTGGATCTCTCACTGCTGCTCATATAAACGCGTGTATGTGTCTCTCGTGCACTCAGTTTCATGCATCATGCGCAGTGCTGTTGAAGCTATGCAACCCCGCAGGAGCGTTTGCACAAGCAGGCTTTTGGTGTGTGGCAACACCGCGGACCCGAGCTAACGGGGGGGGGGGGGGGGGGGGGGGCTGCGACTTCCTCTCACGCCTAGCCGTGGGTGGCTGAGCCGTGTCTCGGAAAAAGGGGATTTCGGAGGTTGAGTGGATGCCGGGATGATTGGACCTTTAACGCTCCCCGGCGGAGGCAACACACCACTTTGGCCTTGGCTTCACATAGACGGCACCCCTGGGCTGACCCACCCTGGGAAATTGATAGTTACCTTTTCCTATCTCTCTCTCTCCCTACGTCTTGTCTTTCTCACTTCATTTATTTATTTCAGTACCGTCAGGACTCGGAGGTGTTACAGAAGGCAGTGGGTAAGAGTATACATAATAAGAAAAATAAGACAAAAAAAAATGCTTCTGAGAGTAAGCATCGCATTCAACAGCAGCCTTAAATGCAGTGACATAGGTCAATTGGGCAACAGAGGAGGGTAGGTGGTTCCATTCGTTCGAGGTAGTGGGAATGAAGGAATCGTAAAAGAACTTGGTATGCGGAAAAGGAATGTGTACTGGTGTGGGGATAGCCGCGTCTATATGACATGTAGCGTGGTTTGGAAAGAAGGTCTTGTTTTAGTTGTGCATGGTGGTAAATTTTATAAAAAAGAACAAGACGGGACACTTTCTTGCACGAACAATGAAGTGGAAGGCCCAAAACTGTTTTCATATGTGATACACTAGATATGCGTGCATAGTCAGAGAGGATCTACTTCTCCCTTCTGTTTACTTCCACTTTTCCTGGCCGCAAGAGTTAACCCTGTGTAAATAGCCCACATTGGTTTAGGCACATTGGGTTATAGCAGTGTTGTACGGCAGACGTCGGCAAGCTTTCAGTATCTGCAAACTTGTAGCGTTCCCTCGTTGGGCTCTGTGGTGGGTGGCCGCCAACGCTGCTGAACAACATACAACCAGCATGCATAAAGCATTCTTCTTGCTTAGCTGTCGAGCCTCCTCAAAACACGGACGCAATGAAGACATCAATTTTTTTCAACCGGCCAAGAGATTCCCTCACTTTCATGTTGTACACTGTAATAAAAGTAATAAGCAAGCCAGACCTGTATTCCTCTTTATAGTTGCCAGGTGTCTAACAGAAACTCTCGGTGCTGGGTACAACGTTACCAAAATGGCCAGCGGAGATCTGCTTCTTGAGATATGAGAGAAAGGCCAATTTGAAAAGCTGTACTCTTGTACAACGTTTGGCGACACACATAGGCGTATCACCCGGGGGGAGGCAAGTGCGGCGCTGCCCCCCTCCCATTGAGAATAGTGAGAGGGGGCTGAGCCCCCCCCCCCCCCCCACAATTTCGACAGTGGTCATTCTTAGCTGCCCCCTGAGAAACAAAGTGAGGGAAAATTTTCATCCAGTACCGCAGTCACGTAATAATATATATAATAAAAGTTTTAAACACATTTTTCTAAATTTTTTGCTAGGCAGGTTCTTTTTCCGTGTCTCGTGAACGGGATACACTTCTTAAATTTCACGCGCTCCCTATCCATCATCCGGGAATGCAGTGCCATGTCAGCAGTGAAACAAACGCGAACCATAGACAGAAATAAAAAAAGCGGGAAGAAAAACAGAGAAATAAATAGAGAAGAACAGAAAAAAAAAGGAAAACAGAGACAGGACGAAAGGTACAAAGACAACTTGCCAGGTCTGCACTTTCTCCATGCTTGGCCCCAGTATACCTGCAAAGTTGCTTTTTTGTTTTTGCTGTGGCTGCATAACAACACTGCAAAAGCCAGAATTTTTATAATTTGTGACTCGTTCACAATGTGAACGCGGCTCAAGATCCCCGTGCCGTGTTTCAATACGAAGTGTCCTCTGATTCAATACCTTGTTACGTACCAACAATGTGATTGTGGGTGGTGACTACCACTTTTTGAAAGGTCGTGCCGATTTCGGCTGTCCGCCAAACTCATTTT